CCTCTGCGGCTCCCTGGCCAAGGGCGCTGGTGGCAGCGCGGCCGGTGCCAAGGGCGGCGGCGGTGCCAAGGGCGGTGCAGCAGGGGCTGGGCTGAACGCTGCCAGTGCTGCTGCACTCCCAGGGGGGGACGGAGGCAAGAGCAAGAAGCAGACACAGCGGGCGGGTGACAGGGACTCGGCCAAAGGTGGTGCTCCAGAGGGACACGCGGCCACAGAGAGCCGCAAAGCCTCCACCCTGTCCGAAGTGAGCACAGGCGAGGACACCAGCTCAGATTCAGACCGGGATTCAGCTTCCCTCCCAGGTGTGGGTCAGAACATGTCTGTCTCCATCCAGACCAGCCAGGACTGGAAACCCACTCGCAGCCTGATTGAGCACGTCTTTGTCACCGATGTCACCGCTAACCTGATCACAGTGACGGTCAAGGAGTCCCCCACCAGCGTCGGGTTTTTCAACCTGCGGCAATACTGAGCCCAGGAGTGTAAGAGGAGGGAGAGGGTCCTTCAGCCTCACCCTCGCCTTTGCCCAGCTCTTCCATCAGGTGTTTTTTTCTTCAAGCAAACGCGGTGCCCTCGTGAGACCTGCTGGAACGCGTGTCTGGAAAGGCTGGACCAGTAACGCAGTGAAACCCGCTCCAAACTGCCAGCGGGTCCTGATTTCCTCCCTGGCTTCTCTCCATCCTCTTCTGGAGCCGTGCCCCACGTGGGGTGGTTGGTGCCATTCTCTGGGAGCGGGGCACCGGTGCTGCTGGGGTGTCAGGCTCTCCAGTTTCGAGCCAGGCTTCACTGCACACAGGTCTCTTTGCTTTGAAACAGCAGATGCCAAGGTCTGCAGCCCACTGGCCATGGGGGTTGTGGAGCTGCCACGGGACAGCCTTACACCTGGGGGAGGACTGGGAGATCCTCCTCTGGGCTTTCTGTGGTCTGTCTGTGGGCCATGGGGAACTGCAAGTCAATCCAAATGAGAAGCTGCTGCTCCCAGCCCTCGGGGCTGTGGGGGGCAGCTGCGTTCGGGGGTTTTTCAGGGTACACTCAGCCCAGCCACCCCCCTGGGTGAGGTCATTTCCAATGATGGGAAACCCACAGCGTTTCTGTTGGGGTTTCCAGCTGATAGGGAAATATTGTTTACATTTTTTCTTAAGGAATTTTTTTTTTTTCATGAGGGAGAGAAATAACCCCAGTCTAAGACAGGTTAAGTCCTGGATGCCACTAACAGTACAGGTGGCAGAGGTGTGTTTTTTGGAGGGTGTTTCCTTTCTGCTGGAGGAAAGTCCTGCCTTGAGAGCCAGCAAGATTCACCAGCTTCTCTGCATGACTTGACCTCCAGAAGAACGTGAATTTCTGGGCAGCCCAGGGAACCTCCACTCCGCTCCTCTGCCTCATCCTGGCATTGCCAGCATCTGCACCTCCTGCTCAGCAGGTTCCAGGCACTCACAGAGACTGCGCTGGGGAATACTTTTTAAGCCTTGTAGAATGTGTGAGCCCTTCTGGCAGCAGGTAGGTTGGTGCTGGGGCTGCCAGGACACCTGTGACTGCTGCTCCCTGGGTTGGAATCACCCTGATCATCCATGATCAGCATTCTCCAGAATGCTCAGAAGTTGGTCAAGGCCACCTGCATAGGTGGTCTGGAGTGGTGGGACAGGAGAGGAGAGGGAGAAGGGCTTAGGCCAGTGGGTACCTTAGGCTGGTGTGGTGTTGCCCAAGGAACTGGAGCACTCGAGCAGCCATTCACCTTCCCCTGGCTATCCCAGCAGCTGGGGTGTTCCTTTTGGCTTGTAATGGCAACCAGTAACGGCTTTTCTGCTGCAGTGTTTTCCCTATTGCAGAATTCTAGAAGCCAAAATTAGCTGCAGTTCAGGCAGAGTTTAGTAGCATTTGAGGTCATTTTCATTCTGCTGATGCTGAGTCCTTTTCTCAGAGGTGATGAACAGCTGGCAGCTGCCCACTCCCCTGCGTGGTTCCGCTGTCCCTCCACCTGACCAGCAGGTCACTGCTTAGGGGGTCCCCAGGTGACTGACCTGGCACCAGGGCAAGCATTTCCCTTTTCCCCTGCCAGGGCCACTCAGCATCTTCATGCACAGGACCAAACTGGGGGTGCAGGTACTTGTGACCCCCTGAGGCAGCAGCCCCCCGTGGTCATGGCTGCTGCCACTGGCTGACAGTGGGGTCAATCTCAGGTGATGCCAAAACGTCACAGGCTGTGCATTTTACCTTCTACTGGAACTTTGCCAAACGAGCTCCGAGGAAGCATTGGCCTGTGTCAGCAGAAAGCAGTGCCCCTGGCACGGTGTGTGCTGTGCTCTGTGCTGGGGGTGCCAGTGCTTTGGGAGAAGGATCCGGGACTCTGGGAGCATGGGGGTGACGCCCTCAGCCTCACACCAAATGTTTGCTACTTGGCCTTTGCGAATCCAAACTGATAACAATGTGCCTTTCGGACTGTCCTTATCTCAGCCTTGTCTGTGGCACCGCTCCCACGACAGGTTTGTGCCTATGCAAAGCAGGGTGGTCGCAGGGTCCTGAGGACGCAGTGACACCAGTGGGGAGAGGTGTCCTGGTCCCCAGTGGGACACCGGCTGTCGTGCAGAGCCCTGCTGAGCAATGCCCCATGAGGGAAGTTGGCCTGGCAGGGATGCTCTTGCCTGCAGCAATAGGATATGTGGATTGGTTTCTCCAAGGGGGAGAAAATCATCTGAAGATGCTCCAAGGAGGGGCCAGGCCCCAGGGGCAGCAGGTGACGTGCTGGCTGCACGGCAGCTCTGAGCCCGCTGCTCTCCAGAGCCACTGTCTCAGCTCCCACGGGTTTCTCCCTGCAGGGCCGGGCTCCTGCCTCCTGCTCAGGCAAAGGGGCCACAGATCCCAACAGCGGGCAGCCCCTCCATCCCCAGCCTGCCCAGGCGTGTCCCCTCTAGCAGCACAGCACTCTGCTGTCACCAGTTGCTATTGTGCCTTTTGCTCACCAGCTGGTTCAATTCCAAAGGTCTAACGATGGTGAAAATGATAATCCAGGATTTTTTTCTGGCCGTCTCACTCTACATTTCTTCCCCAGCCCCTTTCTCACTTGGTGCTCTAGGATCTTGGCTCTCCCAGCAGCTGGGGGGGTTGAAATGCACGGCTCCCGCTGGGGTTTGCTTCCCAAAGACACATCCTGTGAGTAATTTGCTGGAATCTTTGGTGGACAGGGGTTGGAAGACCCCTGGTTGGTGCAGACCCTGGTTATGTACCATTAGGATTCAAGTTCTACCTTTTTTATTCCTTTTTCTTTTTTTTTTTTTTGAGTTTGCTGCTATGGGTTGGCATGTTCAGCCTGGTGTCAGACAGGCAATTAAAGGTTTGCCACTTGTCATTTTCTAAGGGGTTTCCGATGTGGAAAGTCCTGTGGTATTTGTATGGTGAATGGATATTTTCCCCAGGCATAATCTGGTTAAGCATCCTTGTTGTTTTCCATTGGACTGGAAGAGGTGGCCGATTCAGCCATCATCCTGAGAAACCTGAGTCTATTTTTATATATATATATTTCGTACCAAAAAAACCAAAACAGGAGTACAGGGAGGGATGGAGATAGTTTAGGGGTTTGGTTTGAGTTTCTGAGCTGTGTGTGATGGGCTCCAGAGCCAGGAGAAAGGTTTTACTGACAGAGATTTGAGATAGGTGAAAACAAACAATTGTTCTCGTAACTTGTGCCAGTCAGTGCTCTGATTTGTACGTTTTAATTAAAGAGAGAGCCAAATCTGTCCTGTATGACACTTATAATTGCTTTAAACTGCAGCTGTTTGTTTGCTTTTATTTTCTGAGAACAAAAGTCGGGGATGTTATTGCCCTGGGAAGGCATGAGTGCTGTGGCAGCAGGAGCAGCTCCCCACGCAGCACCCCGGTCCCTCCCAGCCCCTTGCCTGCGTTCCTTGCGCAGATTTCCAGTGTTCCTGGACACTAACGCTAGCGTAGCCCCCCAGCTCTAGGCTGCTTTTAATTTATTTGCAGGAAAACACTAGGAAATGGTTACGTCGGGTGGGGGGTTTTGTATGACTTTTCCACACTTCTTTTCTAGCATATCAATAAATATTTTTTTAAACTTTTCAGCCTCGTGTGGTCACTGCTCCGGGAGAGCTCCCGTCCCCCTCCCTACCCTGGGCACCGCCTGGGGCCGGCCCCTCTCCGCGGCACCGTGTCCCCGCTCGGGATGTGGCGGGGCTCCGGGCTGGGGATGTGCGAGGCTGCAAACGGAGCCGGGGAACCGGAGCGGGGGAACCGCACCGCTTTCCCCGCGGGGCTCCCTCCCGGCCCCGGGCTCCGCTGCGGCTGGAGCTGCCGCTGCACCGTGATCGGAGCTCGGGTACCTCCGCCCGCCCCTCCGGGCCCGGCCCGGGCCGGCCTGGCCTGCGGAGGGCGCCGCGCGGCCGCGGAAGGGCGCGGGCGGCGCTGCCGTCGGTGCGGCCGTCGGGCGGGAGCCGAGCCCCGCACGGCCCCGGCCCGGCCCCACCCCCGGGGCCCCGTGTGAACGGGCCCCCCGCCGGGCCGGCGGAGAAAGGCGCCATTGTGCGGCCCTTCCTCCCGCTCCTCCCGGCGCTGGCAGCTCCCGCGGCGCGGGGTCCGAGCAGAAAAAGGAGGTTAATGAGGACACGGCTTCAAAAAGCCATGGAGCCCCCCAGCCCCGCCCGGGCTGCCCGGGCGCGTTCCACACAAAGGCCGGGCCCGAGCCGCGGCCCGCCCGCCCCGTCGGAAGGGCGGAGCGCCTCGGGCCGGGCCAGCGCCGGGGCCCGGCCGGTACCGGGCGGCGCCGTTCCTCGGACCGGAGCCGCTCACAGCGGCCGCCGCCGCCACCTCAGGGCACCGCGGGGCCCCCGGGAGGCATCCGCGGCCGGGGAGCCTCCGCCTGCCCCCCAGCCCCGTCGGGTCCCGGCCCGGCTGTCCCCCGGCAGGGAAGGGGCTGCCCACCCCGTGGGGGCCGCAGCGCAGCCCGCGGTACTCCCCGGCACCCCAGGGCCACAAAGGGAAGCCAGACACGGTTCTATTTACAAAGTATATATTTAAACTGACATAAAAAGCAGGTCTCAAATGGACATTCACGGCTGGCAGAAGACACGTAGTTAAGCTTCACTTCTGAGACTGAGATTTAGCCAAATCGTTTTTGTACAAGTCTTAAATAATTCACACGCACACGCCCGCACACACACACACACGCAGGGTACACGTCGCTATGTACAGACACACAGATACACCCACAGGTACGGTTTGCTCCAGGTGTGTTGGACACACGGACACGGCGCTGGAGCGAAGCCCCAGCGGGGCAGGAGCGGCTCCGAGCTCTTTGCAAAGGGAAGGATCCTCCAGCCCCGGCAGCAGCAGGAGCACAAACAGCTCAACCCCCTCCTCATCCTCCAACAACACCCGCGGCCCCATGTCAGCACCAGAACCAACACATCAGCTCTTCGTACAAACCAAGTTAAAAACCTCAATTTTACAAAATATGTTTAAAAAAAAAAAAAAAAAAGATAAAGAAGAAAGGAAAAACAAACTGGGAACTGTCAGACACGATGGCTCCCTTTGCACAGCCAATCCAGCATCCTGCCGGGCACCTCATGGGTCCCCCAAAAGAAGGATGGGGAAGGGAACCAGGCAAGGTGAAGCTGCCCAAGGGCCCTGCAGCAGAGATGCCCCTTGCCCAGCCCCTTCCCTCAGCCCATGTGAGCTCCCTGGGCCAGGGGCCTTCAGGATTTCAGGGACAAGGGGCCCTGGCTCAGTCCCAGCCCTCAGGCACTGCCGGGCTTGTGCTTCCATCCGACTGATGCCCAGAGCAAGGCGTGAGGACAGGGCCACCTGCTCCCCCCAGCCAAGCCACAGCCGGCCCAGGCTCCCTCCCCTGCCAGGCAGTGGCCAAGCTGGGGGAGCAGCAGAGCGGGGGCACCCCCAGCCCCCAGCCAGAGCCCCAGGACCCTCCCTACCCCAGCCAGGGAGGAATCTCAGCCCTGGATCCCAGCCCTGGGAGGAATCCCACGGGCAAATCCAGCACAAAATCCACCCGAGGTGGCGGGGCTGCCCCGCACGGGAATATTTTGCCTCTTGGCTATTGTTTAACCACCGTAAGGAAAGGGAAGGATTTACTGTCTCTGAATGCATAAAGGTGACCCTGGGATTTGTCAGGGATGTGGATATTACAACACACTTTATCAGGAGTCTTCCAACAGTCTGAAGTAAACTGGGGTTGGAAATAAAAATAATAATAATAATCCACTTTCTGTAGCAGAATAAAGTAACTAAATATGGGCAGTGAGATGTTCCCTCCCCAACCTCTCTGGCATTTCAAGAATGTAAACAGAGGGGGGTTTTGTTGGGGTGTTTTTAGTGGGTAGGGGAACAGAATCAAGTGACCAGACAAAATGAAAACAGATATCCTCAGCTCAGTCCCATCTCCCACAACTGCTACGACAACTCTATTAAAGTGCATTTCAGTATCACCCCTCAGGAACTTTACACACACAAACTCCTCCCCTCCGCAAGAAAAGGGAATTCAAGTTAATACTCCAACACTTTTAGCCTTTTTATGGGTTTCTGCTTTTCCCCGCCCGACTTTGTAGCAACATGACTTTTTTTGTTAGACTGGAAACACCCCATCCCCTACAACACTGTGAATTCAAGTGCTCACGTCAACTGTCAAGGGCAACAGTCCTGGACACAGCACACTTGATTGTACAAGCAACACCTTAAATCACAATCAAGAAATCCGGGCACTTCGCCCTCCGAGGGATCAACACGTCCCCCTCCACCATCCATAGCATCATATGAAAAATAATAGTTAAAAAAACCCAGCACATACTTAGCTATGAACACTGTTATGTACACCGGCTCCTGCGGCAGATGAGTGAACTTGTTAGTTCTCAGTTTTATTGTCCTTTCTAGGAGCAACTGAGCAGTCACTGTTGTCTCCATTTAAATAAAACAACTCAGAGTTGAAATATATATATAGATATATATATATAAGCATTTTTTCTTAAATAACATATTTACATCTAATAGAAAATATAACTCTAGAGATAATCTTTCCAACGAAATGTAAGACGTGAAAAAAAAAACAAAACAAAAGAATGACTTAATGAATTTAGGACAGTTTCTAAATTCTCTCCAGGACCAAAAACAAAAGAAAAAAAATTAAGGGAAAAAAAAAAGGAGCATAAAAAAAAAAAGAAAAAAAAAAAAAAAGGAGAGGCCCACCAAGCTCTACCAAGCTTTTGTCTGGATCTGACTGAAGAAAACCCCAGCACCACCTCCACCAAACTCATCGCTTCTCCTTAAAGAATCCTTGGTCCGTGCTGCTCTCCTTGATGGTGACGGTCAAAAAGTTAGAGGTCACATCAGTTACCACCACCTTCTCCAGGTTGTTGAGAGAGGGGCTCCAGGACTCCTCCTCGGGGTCCCCCAGGATCCTGGAGACGGGGATCCTGGCGATGAGCGAGGGCCGCCCCGCCGGGCCCCCCACGCCGTCACGGTACAGGCTGCCCACGGCCCCCGGGCTCACGGCGCCGTGCAGGAGCTTGGGCCCGCCGGGGTCCAGCCCCCCCTGCCCCTTGGGGTCCAGAAAGTCCGCCCGGTGCTTTGCCAGGCGCGGGGGGAAGGTCTCGGCCCCCGCCTCGGCGCGGTTGGGGCCGGGCAGGGCGCCGGGCAGGTCGGGCTCCTGCCGCCGGGCCAGCTGGATCACGCTGTGTCCCGAGCCAAACTTGGCTGCCCCCGCCGCCGCCTCCTCCATCTTCCTGGCCTTCAGGTAGTCCCCCACCTTGTCCCCCGGGTCCCCCAGTTTCCTCTTGGAGGCATCCAGAGTCTCTGCAAGGTCCTTGTAAAGCTCCTTCCTGGGCTTTGGGCCTCTCTTTTTGGGGGTCTCTCCAGGTTTCTCTTCCACGCGGATCACCCGGTCCCGGATGCCGTCTGCCTTGGGGGTGCTGCTGCTGGAGCTGCCCTGGGGGGCCAGGGCTATGTTTCTCAGTCCTTCCCTAGCCCGAGACGTGGAGCCCAGCTCCTGGGGGGACCTGCCAGGATACGGCACCCGGATCCCCCTGGAAGAGTCACTGCGGAATTCATAGGTTTTGGCTTTGGCTTTTGCCTGGGCCTGCAAAGAAGATAAATCACCCTGTGACTTTATTATCCTGCCATCCGGCTGTGTAATTGCAACTTACAAGAGGCCACCTTAGAGGGGAGCATCCTCCGAGGGGGCCGGGGAGGGACCCCTGTTCTGGCCCGCCGCCCTCGCGCGCTGCCTCTTGCCTCCTTACCTTTAGCAAGAAGGTTTTGGGCTTGGGGCCTCGCTTTTTGGGCCCGTAAAGCTCCATTTCTCGCTCCCTAGAGGTGTTAAAAGAACCAAAGCTTCAATTCAGCATAGCTACAAGACAGCAACATATTTACAAGTGCAACTGCTACAGCTAGTAAAGGCCTTGTACCTCTCCTCGAAGGCTGCGAGCAGCCGGGCATCCAGGATGTTCTCCTCAGGTTCCCAAGTGCTGTACCTGGGGGTGTGGGGGGGGTGGGGGAAGACAGGACCAAGAGAGGGAACAGAATAAGGAGCCAGGAGGGAGCAAGACAAATAAAATAAAAAACAGGGGCACAGAGGTTCTCGTTGCGGCACAAAGGGAGAGCAGGGGGTGCAGCCAGCATCCTCCCGGCCCCTGCTGCAGCCCCCCGCGGCCCCACGGGCGACTTACTTCTGCGACCAGCCCTTCCATTTGACCAGATATTCCATGCGGCCCTGCGGATGGGAAGGGAGGGAAATAAATACGCGTGGAGTGAAACCCGCGACAAACCGCGACAAACCGCCCCGCAACAAAGGTCCCCCCGCAACGCCCCGGGCAGGGAGCGGAACACGAGGCGGGGGTGCAGCGGGGTGGGGGGGATGCAACAATGAAAAATAACGCGGATTTCACACACGCACACACCCCCCCGGGCGCGGAATTAACACCGCCCCCCCCGGGCGCGGGGCGCGGAGGGCGGGAGCGGCGGAGCGGAGCCCGCCCCGCGGCGGGGGGAGGCAGAGCCGCCCCCAGCGGGCCGGGGCCGGGGTGCGGGGCGGCGGGGGCGCGGCGGGGTAGCACCGGGGGGGCACCTACTTTGCGGATGCGGCGCTTGAGCAGGGCCTCGGCCGCGAAGACGCGCTCCCCGACGGCCGAGAGCTCCATGTTTACGCGGCCGCTCGCAGCGCAGGGGCGGCCCCGGCGCAGCCCAGACCATAATACTCCGCCCGCTGACGTCACCGCGCCCCCCCCGCGCGCGCCGCGCCGGAGCCGGGTGGAATATTCCGCCCGCGCCGCATTGGCCGCGCCGCGCCCCGCCCGCCGACGTGCGCCGCGTCCCGATCGGCGGGGGCGGGGCCTCAAGCCACGCCCATCGCCACGCCCATCGAGCCACGCCCTCCTCCCGGCCACGCCCCGCTCGGGGGGACGGCCCCGGCAGGGCGGGAGGGGGCGCGGAGCACAAAGGGGGTGCGCGGAACCGGCGAGCGGCGGGATGGGGTTCCGCGGCCCCGGGCACGGGCCCGGTGGTTCTGCAGCGGCCGGACGCTGCGGAATGGGGGTTCCGCGGCCTGGCCCGCCTACCGGTGGTCGGACAAAGAGAGCGGTGTCAGGGGTGGGAGCGTTCCCGCGCGAACCGCCCGTCCCGGTACCGGCGGAGCTCGTGGTGTCGCGGAGCCGTCCACGGACGGACGCGGTCGCGCGTGCCGCTCGGCGCCTCTGCCTCTGCGGGAACGCGAATCCTTCCCGGCGACGCGAACACGGCCGATAGAATGGGGCACCGCGGCCGCCGGTTTCGTTGTGCCGGCAGCTCCCGGCTGCGGTCCCAGGGGGGAGGAGAGGTGACCCGGGGCCAGCGGGGCAGCCCCACGCGGCATTTGATCCATCTCTGGCGTTATCTGTCAGCAAACTGGCGTATGAACGAGACTGCGCTGCGAGGCTGCCAGCCGGTACCGGGGAGGCTGCCAGCCGGTACCGGGGAGGCTGCCAGCCGGTACCCGTACCCCCTCCCCGCTCCGGCTCGGCCTCTCGCCCCGCGGCATGGCGCCGGGAGACATCATCTTCTCCCTGAGGCGGCCACGGAAGAACGAGACGCGCAAGTCACGGGAAACCGGTGTAGCCTCTGGAAGACAGGAGGTCTCACGCCACCGCTTCCCGCAAGTGGGCAGGGACCGAACCCGCCCCCCGCGCCGTCGGTGAGAGGCTCCGGGAGGAACGGGCAGCTCTTCAGCCCGGTGCCGCGAAGTGAAGCGATTTCCGTGTCCGTGGGCAGCGCCGCCGCTGGGAGCTGCCCCGAGAGTGGGACGCGCAGCGTGGCGCTGAGTGGGCTCCTGCGGCCCCGTTCACGGCGGACGAGACCAGACGAAGCCTCTCGTGAATCTTCCCCTCCTGTCCCCACCTCGGTCTCCCGTCCGCTAAGGAGCTCGAAGCCGACGAGCAGCGGGCCTCGGCAGCGCTCACGCGTGGGAAATCCACGGCGGGGATGGCCGCGGGGCTCCGGCTGCGCCTGCCCTCCGGTGAATGAGACCACAGCCGCGCCGGCCGGGGGCTGCCGCTACGAGGCCCCCCCTTTCCCCGGCGGGGGAAGCCGCACGGGGGGCGCCGGGACCGGAGGGCACCGGGGTTGTTCCACCCCGAGGAGCGCTGTTTCCCGGGGATCTCGCCTGCCGCCGCGCCACCCGGGCGGGAAGGGACCTCCAACGGCGGACACGAGTGGGGCGTCGGGACCCCGCGGGGAGTGCCGACAACTGGACCCGCACGGCTCCACGCGGGACGCGGGGGTCGTGTGTCGGGTCTCCGTGGGAAGATCCCTCCTCCCGTCGCCCCCGGCCGAAGTGAAACCACGCTCCCAGGAGGACGCGGAAGATTCCCACTCTGCGGCTCCCGTGTACTCCCACACCACGCTTGAAAACCCCGCGGCCACGGGAGCCGTCGCGACACGCGAGTTCTGCGTGCCGTGGTCGGACCGGGGGGAAGCACAACCTCCGCGGTCTCCCGGCCCCCGGCGAGCTGCGTCCCGGGAAGTTTTTCGTTAATGTAGAATTAATTCTTGTTAATTAAGGCCGGTCGCGGGGTGACTCGTGAATTGGCGTGGACTCGGCTCACTGGACCCTGCTCCCGGGAAGGTGCTTCGTAACGGACAGACCGGCGGCACCGGGCGCGCGTTCCGGCGCGGGGCGCGAGGCTCTGGGTCGGAAGCTGATCGTGACCGCCCGGCAGGAGCGGTACTGGCACAGCGGCGCCCGTTCCCGTGGCCGTGGGGCTGCCGCAGCCCCGAGCAAGTCGGTATCTGCCCGGCACCTTGGCTGTCGGTGTCCTCGGTGTACGTTGGAACCGCGGATCCGAGGCCGTGCCGCCCGGTACCGACGCCACACGCGAGCCCTGAGGGGCCGCGTAGCTCCCGACCGCGCGGCTGCCTTTGCCCCGTCGCCTGCGCGGAGCTCCGCGGAGCCGCGGAGATGTCCCCCGGCCACGCGTAGGGGCGTAGAGGGGAGAAGCTGAAGTTCCGGCTGCCTCCCACGAGGACGTCAGCGGAAAAATAGCTCCATCCTGCCGCCGGAACCCACGCGGAACCCGCGCGGGGCCGGAGCTGCGCCCCGGTTGAGGTGCAGGGGGGGCAGGGAGAAGGCGGGATGCAAACGAGAACAGAGCGGGGAAAGCAGCGCGGAGCGACCGCCGCCGCGGGGGAAGCGCCCGAATCCCCGCGCGTGGGTGAGCCGGGGCCGGGGCTACGGCCACTCGTGGGGGTCTTGGCCCTGAAGAAGTGCGACAGAGCTGCTGCAGCCGTGCGGGACGAGGCAGCGGCGAGCGGGACGGTACCCGGACAGTTCCTACCGCTGCCGAAGGGTGTCCGGAGATCTCCGCTCCCGGAGCCGGCGGCACTGCGGGGCCCCTCCCGCACAACCAGGCCACCGGGAGCAGGAGCTGAACCGGGACACGGGCAGCCTTCCACGCACCCAGGCTCAACGGCAGGAGCTGCCTGGGCGCCGCACGGGCTCTCGGCCGGGTGGGGCCGCTCATCCCTGCGGATCCCGTCACCCACACAAGCCCGGGACCCGGCTCTGGGATCCCGGGACTCAGAGCCGACAAGCGGACAGCTCCGGACCGGCGAGAGCGTGTGCTGCCGCGGCAAACCCCGTTTCCGCCCATTTGACCCCAAACCCTCCTCTCGGCTGCGGGGTCTACGCTCCTCCAGCCCGCACTCTTGCGATGAACTCCTAGGGGCTTAGAGGGCTGCTGGGGAGCAGAGTGGCCGGCTCCCCCCTCGGTTCTCGCTGTGCGAAGGATACCACGGCAGCAAGTTTTGCAACGAAACCGGAGGGCTGGAGCCCCTCTCGGGGTCGCGCGTGGCGGCGGAGGGGCGAGTGCGCGTGTCCGAGTGCGGCTGAGCCGGGAGAACGGGGCGGCGAAGCGGACTTGGCTCCAACCCAACCGCCGGCACCATCGATCCCGCATGGCAGCGGGGCAGTTCCCCGCGACTCCCGTGTGCTCTGATGGCCGCGCTTCAGAAGCTGCTCCGTCCCGCGGCCACTCGCGTCGAGGACGACAAGATCCACCACAGCTCCCAGCCCGACCCGGGCCGGGTCCCCGGGTGGCCGAGGATGCCGGTGTCCCTCAGAGACCCCTTTATGCCACGGTGACGTCCCAGCGCGTCCCCATCTCCTGGGCGATCCGAGCACGGCCCCCACTCTGGGACCGCGGGGAAAGAGCAAGTGAACCCCGACAGAACCCCAAAGCTTGCCCGCCCTCGAAGCGATCCTCCGACCGGGCTGGCCCTGGGGTCCCGGGAGAGGCATCCTGCAGCCCGGATACCGCCGCGCAGGGCAGAGCACGACCCGGAGCCACTTTCCACGCGAGCTCCCTGCTTGCGTGGACACTCCCCTGCACACTCGGGGAGACCAGTCCCGGATTCCCGGTCAGCCCAGCCGCCCGGTTCGGCTGCGGGTTTCTCCCGGTTCGGTTCCGTGCCCGAGCCGTGCAGGAAAACTATTCTCTCCCCCGGTAGCTGAATGGAGCCGGGAGCAGCATCGACATTTCACTGTCCCACGGACCGGTACCGGGCAGTGCCGTCCGCACAGCCTCGGGGGGGCGAGGACCCGGGACCCCTTGGCACCGCCGGCTCGCGGTCCTATCCGAAACTGGGGGCTCAGCCCGGCCCCCGAGACGCTGCCTTTTCGTTTCCGAGCAGCTCGGGGACAACTGGGCAGACAGCGACCGGCTCCGACCTGCGACACCGGTACCCCACAGTGACGCCGGGGTTGCTGGCGGGTAGCACGGGGGGTACCCGGTCCGAGGACGGGAGATCTCGGGTGTGCCCATGCAGCGGTGATGCCAGCGGTCCGTAAGACCCCAGAAATTCCCGTACGAGCGAGTTTTCTTGTCGAGGTGTTTGACATCGAATTCATGACTGAGCACGGCTTCCCTGGCGACTCCGGAGGCGACGTGGCGACGGGAGGCAGCGTGCCCCCCTGGACACTGCTCAGGTCCTGCCGACGCCTGGGAGGGCACCGGCCACGGTCGCTGCCCTTTCTCCGAGGACCGAAGGGGGCTGGCGGAGCCGCGGAGGGATCTCGGCGTGGACGGGCAAAGAGGGAGCGAGAGGATCCCGGCTTCGGGGACTCTACCGATCATCTGGGCAGAGGAACTTCTCTCCGCCCCTTCGATCGTTATTGCCCGGTTACTGAGGCTTTGGCCAGTCAGCGAAACGACCGTCCCGATGAGATGCAGTTCAGCGCCCGTCCCGGTCGGGTCTCGCTGCCGCCCCGGGGACCGAACCGCACATCCTCCTCGGGGCAGCCGGTACTGGACCGGTACTGGACGGCAGAGGACCGTAGCGGCTAAGCCCCTCTGATGTTCCACGGCCCCGCCCGGGAAGCGACGGGCACAGCCCGGCCGCGTCCCGACAGTGCCGCACGGGAACGCTGCACTTCCCGGCGCGTCCCCGCCTGCCCGGTGAATTCCAGGTGCTTTCCATAGGTGGCACCGTCCTCCTGGAAATGGTGGCTGCGGCCTCAGCGCAACCGGCAGCGTTCCTGCCACCCCAGGGGGGCACTGCCGCCCCCTCCGCCCCGGGCCGCCCCCCCGCCCCGCCGGTTCGGCGAGGCGGAGCGCCCGCAGGAGCCCCCGGGAGCTGTGCCAAGCCCCGAAGCGAAGCGCGGGTTTTCTTCCCTCTGCGGTCCCCACGGCGGAGAGAAGCCGCCGTTTTTCCAGGGGCAGAGACCCACGAACGCTGGGGAGTCTC